AAATACTAAAAGGAAAATAGAAAAAAAAAACAGGAAATTCAACCATTTCTAATCCTTCAACTCCAAATTAAAAGGTATCTCAAATGACAAGTTACCACACATTTAATTAAATGAGCATCCATTCTTTTAAAATATTTACCCAACCGCCTTGAATCTTCATAATAGAGATATTATCCACCATCCATATTTGCAAATACTTACATCTTTGACCTACTACATTTCATGATATATCTATATATGAACCAATAAATTCTACTTTAAAATCTAAACATAAATTCAACAAGGCCATATTAACTTCCTTTATTTTCTGTTTCCTCAAAATCTACAGGGCGACGAAGAATACCAGACAATGCAATGACTATAGAAGGAAATAACGATTTAGCAGTAGAAATCAAATTACAGTAAGCAGAATAATATTGATCAATAGATAACAAATGGATATCATTTGTACCTGATTAATACCCCCATCTGATGTCTCTAATGGAAGCCCCGAAAAGCAAATACCTCAGCATGGTCAAGTGACATATACTTAACAATAGAACTGACACTATCACAGATGTTCTTGGCTCTTTACTGTCTTTAACTACATCTTTTCTCTTTGTATCTTTCCTTTACCTGTAATTTTAACATTATCTTTGCATTTATTACTGCTTTTATCTTTATCTTTATCTTTATCTTTGCATTTGTCTTATGTTATCATAGACTTTTCTTCCTTCTTGTAAGCTTTCTCTTCCTCCTGATTAGTAGCATCTTTCATATCAAGCTCCTCTGATTGTGTTAATTCGATTATTGTGTTTTCTATTTCCTGACGTAAAACGATCATTCTCTTCTTCATCATTATCTTCTTCCTTATTTCACTCAGTTTCTATATTTTTGTTTTTATCACCGGCGTAAGATGCATCGTCTGAATCCATGAAAATGTTTAATCGTTCTTTGAAATCCTCAAAGTCTGACTTTCATGTCGACTAATTCATTTCACTCTCTTCCTGTCCACCAGCCGCCCCGCGCAAACTTGCACTAACATCTGCTGTTTCGGACTGCATATCATTAATACCTCGTAGATTGAAAACTTCGTAGTTAATTCTTCTTTTTGCACTTCTAGAATAAATCGTCAGAAATTCCTGGTTCAGGTTACTCATATAGAAATATTTTTAAATCATTTTTAAACAAAAAATTTCAAATGTGCACTGATTCCCGAAACAGTGATTCGCGTGGTAATCAAAATCAAACAAATTTACAATTCAGACTTGTGACATCTACTTAAACTCTTGGTATGAAAATCAAATTTGTATAAAGAGGGAATCTTGTTGAGACAATTAACCAATAAAGACTTAAAACTGAATATTAACTGATTGTTCCCTGAACGTCCAGTGGCAAAATGTCATGCATATTAAGGAAGAGATGCAAATAGGTCGACCGGTCACAAAAGTTAACAAAAAACATTATAACAAGAGGTATGAGGTTTGCCTTACCAAACTAAAGTTGAACCATAACCCATATCATAAGGTAGGATATTAAAAGCCCCCTCTCTCTATCAAAGACAAAAACGCCCCCTCCCCTAAAAAAAACAAAACAAAACAAAACACGAAAATAAAATTTAAAAAAAATGTAATTACGGTCATTTATATATATATATAAAAGGTCAAGATATTAGTCAACGGTCTTTCTTACGAGGGCGCTGGAAGTAACGATACATGTACACAATAAATAAATTATATAAACGCCTAAAGTGTACAAAACAAATCATACAAAACAACACCAATATTAAAAACAAGGAAACATTAAATGTAATCATCTATAGATATTTCGGATAACAGATATCCTTCATCAGTATGATTATGATGTAAAATGAATCATATCAATCTATTCTGATTTATTGTATTAATGATAAATGCTATTTGTGGAAATTATTTTTTTCTTTTCTTTGGTAAATTGTTTGACGAATTTTGTGGTAGGTTTGTTTGTTATTCTGTATAAATTAATTTTTTGAATGCAGTATATATTTTTATGCCCCCGCCGTTGCGGAGGGGGCATTAAGCTTTATCCTTGTCCGTCTGTACGTCCGTCCGTACGTTCGTACATCTACAAATTGGTATCCGTTCTCTAACCTTAGTTTGCCTCAACCAAATATTATGAAACTTATACACAATGCTGATTACCACAAAACACAGATCAAGTTTGAATTTGGGTGGCGTCACTTTTACCGTTCCAGAGTTATACTCCTTTACAAATGGAAGAATTGCTGTATTATTTGTGTCCGTTCTCTAACTTTAGTTTGCCTCAACCAAATGTTATGAATATTACACACGATGCTTATTACCACAAAACACAGATCCAGTTTGAATGTTGGTGGCGTCACTTTCAGCGTTCTAGAGTAATGCCCCGTTACAAATGGAAAAATTGCTGAATTTTTCGTTTCCGTTCTCTAACTTTTGTTCGCCTCAACCAAAAGTTATGAAACTTATGCACAATGCTGATTACCACAAAACACAGATCAAGTGTGAATTTTGGTGGCGTCACTGATACCGTTCTAGAGTTGTGCCCCTTTACAAATGGAAAAAGCTTAATTTTTCGTTTCCGTTCTATTACTTAAGTTTGCATCAACCAAATGTTAATAAACTTATACACAATCCTTATTACCACAAAACTCAGATCAAGAACAAATTTTGGGTAGCGTCACTTTTATAGTTCTTGAGTTATGTCCCTTTATAACGTTATATGCAAGCGAGGGCATCATCTGTGTCCCATGGACTAATTCCCAATTTTATTTTTTTTTGATGAAGCGAACTCCTTTAAAACCTAAGCTTATATTATCTGTTAATAAACATGTTCTTAAATTTTTGATTTCGGGCCCAGTTTTAGAGTTGATCCAAATCTGGGTCCAAAAATAAACTGTGTTTGATTTCAACATAAATTGAATATATATGGGGTTCTTTGAAATGCTGAATCTAAACCTGTATTTAAATTTTGGATTGTTGGGCCCGATTTTCAAGTTGATCTAAATCAGGGTCCAAAATTAAACTTTGTTTGATTTCAACAAAAATTGAATTCTTGGGGTTGTTTGATATGCTGATTCTAACCATGTACTTAGATTTTGGATATTGAATCATAATAGGTAAATGTCCAATTTCAAATTTTTCAGTTCTTTGGCCACATTCATTTTGTGTCACAAACCTATGCTGTGTCAAATATTCAATCGCAATCCAAATTCAGAGCTGTTTTAAGCTTAAATGTTGTGTCCATACTTGCCCCAACTGTTCAGGGTTCGACCTTTGTGGTCGTATCAAACTGAGCCTAGCGGAGCATGTTATATCTATTAAGATAAGCTCCTTTTAGTTTTTTGTTATAAATTTCCGATATGACATTGAGGAGTTATGGAACATTATTCTGTGAAAAAGCGACGGGCGTATCATGCGCTCATAGCACAGCTCTTTATTGATTTTGGGACCGGTTTTCAAATTGGTCCACATAGTCCAAAATTAAACTTATTTTGATTTTATGAAAAACGAATTCAAGGGTTCTCTGCTGAACTGAATCGAATCGAAGCATGTATTTAGAATTTTGATTTCGGGCCAAGTTTTCAGTTGGTCTTAATCGGGATCAAAAATTAAACTTTGTTTGATTTCAACAAAAATTGAATTTATGTGGTTCTTTGATATGCTGAATCTAGCAATGTGTTTAGATTTTGGATTTTGGGCCCCTTTATCAAATTGGTCCACAATGATATCCAAAGGGTCCAAAATTAAACTTAGTTTGAATTAAAAAACAATGAATTCTTGGGATTCTTTGATATGCTGAATCTAGCCGTTATTTAGATTTTGGAAATTGGACCATGATAAATAAAAGTCCAATTTCAAATGTTTTAGTTTTTCGACCATATTCATTCTGTGTCAGAAACCTATGCTATGTCAAATATTTAATCACAATCCAAATCCAGATCTGTATCAAGCTTGAATGTAGAGTCCATACTTGCCCCAATTGTTAAGGGTTCGACCTCTGCGGTCGTATCAAGCTGCGACCAGCGGAGCATTTTATTAATTTATATTTTTTATTAAAAAAAAGTGATATTTTAAAGTGCAAAATAATTTTTACATTTAATCTACTTTTTGTATAGTAATAATATTTTATTGTAAAAAAAAAACTATTCACTAAAACATCATTTAACAGCAATTTATATTGTAGGCAATCGAGGATTAGGATTTTTTTTCATAAAGGCATTCCAGGAATACACCGGATCATTTACATGTCATTTAATATTTTTATTCCTATAGCAATTTAAAGGCTATAAGGCAATATCTTTTATAAACAGGGTTCGGGTTCGAGTTTTAAATAATTTATCACATTTATTATTGCGATAAACATTAAGTGGTACGTGAATTGAATAAACATATTTTAAGCTTTTTTCAAACTGATTACCTTAAAACTCAAGTTACAAAATTTCATACATTTCTTCTCTTATTATGCATGCCTTATATATACTATTTTTTCCATTCTGAAACCGTACCAGAAAACTACAACATGTATCCGAAGGGTGACTGGGGAATACAAATATTGTCACTCTTGGTGTTATTTCGATATTAATAAAACTCTTGCCAAAGTAAGACGTCCGTTTGGTTTAGTGGGATGTATAAATTCGCAGCCACGTCCAGTCATAATTGGGACCTGATATCAAATGCCTCTTATAGAGAGAGTGTCACGCTCTCTGCACGTTAAGAACCCATGCAACAACTCTTTGATGGGTCTTTAGTTGTCCTGATACTATAAAAATGTTAAATTTCTGTCCCTAGCCGATTTACTCTCATTTCCGAGTGGCTGTACAAACTATTCGCCTTTCACGTCGGTCGACTCTTTTAACAGGACCTACCTTTGTATATATTGTTAATTTGTTCTCGTTGTGAATATGCATGTAATATTTGCCACTAGAAGTTAAGCAACAAACAATAGAAGTTAAGCAACAAACAATCAATCACTCAATCAATCACTCAATCAATCACTAAAACATGGGGCAAAATGTTTGGTACTTTAAGATCAATATTTCGTTTGAAGCATTTTTTGAATCACTGTAAAGTAAGCTGTTCATGAACCGAAAAAGACTTAGTATAACAAAAAGTAGCCAATTACCACTTAATATCACATTTATATAGAAAGCATATATTGTTTAAATTATTGTCAAGTAAGCTATCTTACGACACCGAAGAGATATTCGTTAAACCGTAAATACCTACGAACCCTTTTTCCCACAAAAGTACCCATTTTCGTTTTATATTAAACCATGTACTTTTCGAATCAACGTTAATAATGTTATGTTATGACACTGGACATTCCCTTTCATTATTACAATAAAAATAAAAAATAGCAATGTATTTTTGAATCAGTGCAATTTTTGGCATATCTTTTTTTTAAAACTCGTTTAAACTTCAATTCAATGGTGATCACACTTTTCATTCTAAATTAGATAACTTATTCATTGATTTATTTACCTATGTTTATTTTTTTATTATCATTATCATTATTCCAGTGTTTACATCGATATGGTTCTTCATGGTTGCTACTTTTTTTTATTCTTTGCCCACCTGTACACAGCGGTACTAAGAAGGACTTAAATCTAGTTAAGAGTGGACTTGAAACTGGCAAAGGGATAGCTGCCCTGATTGAAGTTGCAAATTTTGAACAGACTTTAGCACAGATCGGAAAAAGTATTGGTCCTTACCTTGGTGCAATAGGTCCTTTCATAGGTCTCATATCCGTTATCATTCCATCCGAATCTAAGGAGTTGTCTTACATGAAAGAGATGATGAAGTATATTGACAACCGATTTGATCAAATGGATAAGCGATTCGACAGTATCGAACAGATGATTAAGTGGAACGTCGTGCAAGTCAATTTCGGGCAGATTGAACAAAGGATAAAGGCAATGGCACGGGAATATAGATATCTGTGTATTGTTCCACCTGTTGCTGTGGAAAATAGAAAGAAGATTTATATTTCGAATTATGAAAGTGATTACCAGAATAGCGGCACGAAATTGTACCAATCTATTGTCAAAGAACAAGGTACGCTTCAAGAAGATCTGGGTACATCTGTATTGCGTTATACTGACAGTGACCGCACAAAGACACAGTTATTTCTTCTCGGAGTTATGCAACTTCTTTTGCAGTCTATAAAAATAGAGTTGGCATATCTGTTTTCCTACAAATATGATCATAATGCAAATTTTATGAAGTCACAATGGATAAATCGAACGGAGGAGGTTCAAACGAAGTTCAAACTCATAGACGATCAGTGTATTAATGCATATTTCGCCAAATCCTTAAAGGATATTGACGAATTTTCTGCCAAAAACTATGGCAAACCGAATAATAAGTTTGCCACTGAACTATTCGATCTGCTATCTGGAAAGTACTTCTGGAGGGATTGGATTGTTGTCGCCTATAACCCAATAAGCGGTGACGACAAGTATTTTATGAGTGTCAAAGGAGGACACATTCTATTATTGAAACATGGAAGAAATCTGTTAGTGACAAGTGTGGACAAGAATCATCCGGTCATGAATTTATCAGGAGCTAAAGAGAAATTGAACAAAATTTCCGTGAGACATTCGGTTAGTTGGTTAGGAGTATCTCAATACGTCAATCGATCGGCAAAAGATATATTTAACAAGATAGATAAAACAGGTGCCTCACTTGTTATTGTCATAGAGTGTGCGTGGAATGCAGCAGCTCTAAAATGTGACACTAACAGGCTCTTATCCGATAAAAGATGTCCATATCATTGGATAATCATGTGGGGTTAAAAGGTCTTAGAAAAGTTGTACATGGTAATATTGTGACTAGCTGATATTTTTTTTAAAGGTCAATGTATTTACTGTTATTACCATTAAGGTAAATCAGTTATAATTTTACATTTCATGCATTGGTAAAAGGACAAGGTACCTTTTGTTGCAAATGTGGCAATTTTTTTAACATTTGTATGTTACGGATATAAACGCTAATATTATTAATTCGTATTTTTAAACTAATTTGATTCGTTTAGAGATAGTCACATGTTAAACTATATTTTCGAAGGTAGAGAGAAAACGGCGGATAGCAAAAAGCATATTGCACAGCAAAAAGCATATTGCACGGTTATTTTTAGAATATCTAAAAACCGATATACTTTGTGACGTCATGTAATGAATTTCATGATATTGTTAAAAGTTTTATAAAAAAAATATCTATGATCGATTATTTGAAGAAAAAAAATCTTCATATACATAAGATGTAAAAAAGTAAATGAAATAACAACTTATATGTTATTGTCTAGGAGACAATATGATATCTATAAAATTCCAACAAAATCAAAAAATCAAATCAGGATTTTGATACAAATATGGTCGGAAATTAATAATATAACAATTATAGCCTATTGATGAGGTCAATACAGGATATATCGACCCAAAGAAGTATATCGACCTCGGACTTCGTCCTCAGTCAATATACTTCTTTCAGGTCAATATATCCTTGTATCGACCTCATACAAAGGCTATAATTGTATAGTATTACTTTACTTTTGAAAGTGTATGATTTGCTACGGCTTGGTACCAATTTGAGTGTGAAGTCATTCGAAATTTTTGCAAGATATTATAATATTCAATTTTTTATAAATTTTTGACACATTTTAGATTAATCAGCATTCAGCATAATCGTCGCCCAGAATAATTGGTTACAAGCTAGTAGATAATTATAAAGTACATTCCCTGCTGAAATATCTTTTTCATATCGGTGTGTTGTAATAATTATTGCTCTTAATTTTTGCATTAATGTGCATGTATTTGTAAAACTGTTACAACTATGCGTAATTCGCCTTTTCATAATCTAAAGGACTATGGGTAATCTCATTGTTCGTACACCAAAATGAAAATAACGTTACGTCATTGGTTGAATTTCCATTGTATTGGCCGTTTTTAACCAATCACAACGTTTTGGTGTATGCTTTTAAAAAATATTACCCAGAATGCATTAGATTCTGAAACGGCGACTTTCGACATGTTATAAAACAAAATGTAAAGAAATCTGGTATAATTGCCAAGGAGAATTATACCAAAATACGAGGATCATATTTACTGTCATTCCATTGCTATAACTCATGCAAAAGAAATACTTTAAAACGAATTGGTAAGATATATTCAAGGATTTAATTCATCATTTGATGAAGAACACTTTAGAAATGTTAAAATGCTGTTGATTTTAAGGACAATTTGGCAAATATTGTTCTTGTTAAGTTTTACTTCTGTCGTTCGATAGCATTACATAGAAAGGCTACGATTTGTAAGTCAGCGTCTTGTAAATGTTTTGCTTAAAACAACAATTCCTACACAGGTAAAATAGCTACGGACGTTTCACGGATGTGGTAATAAACGTCCGTAAAACATCCGTAATACGGATGTATTACGGATGATACGGTTACGTCCGTAAAAAGTCTGTAAAAATACATCCGTAAAACGTACGTGTAAAAACTGATGTAAAACGGATTGTCCGTTTCACAGACGTTTCTTAAACATACGTATTACGGACGTTTCTGCAACATCCGTATTACGGCTATATCTTATTCAAAGATGTAAAAGTACCATGCACGATGGCTAATACATGCATAAAGTAAAATTCTTAACTTGCTTTCAACATTCTGCATGCCAGACATACATGTGTATAGTGAATCTCTGCTTCAAGCCTATAACTTTTAATATTTGCATAATATGAGTACATATGAAGTGATTTTTTTCCAAAAAGACCACATGATTTAATTAAAAGTATGAAATATCAAAATAATTAACTGACAATGTCAATGACTGATTTATAATCCTTTTCTCCAGAGCATTTTTTTTTTATATACTTCATTTGCATAGAATTTTTCAATGAAATGCAGAAAATACTTGTACTTTAATGCAATGTTAACTGTACATGAAAACGTTTCAATTGATGCACTACAACACAGAGGCATCATTATAGAGGAAAGGGTTAAATATAGAAATTTAATGAAAAGTGTATAGTAACAGGAACATATATATTGATATACTGTCATGACTGTTCCCACCCAGGTAGTAATTAACAAAATTTAATGGAAAGCTTCTTAACAACAGTCACGATGATTCAACAGTTTTCTCATTCTTTCATATAATAAAAAAGATAGTGAGTTTCTAAACACTGAATTTTTTCATTGCTTCTTGATGTTCATCATGAACATCCATTTATTTAATTTAAGATATGGTTGTACTTTTCGATCAACCATTTTAAAACATATCTTCCAAAAAAAATCTAGAAAAGGAGTCAACTTGTGAGTGAAATTATATAAAATTAAAACAATGTTAATTAAAAAAAATATCTTTTTCCTGTATGTAAGGTCAAATAAAAAAAATTGTGTGTTTCTTATTTCCGCAACTACCCTATATTTTAAGCTTAGAAATAGCCTACCCTAAAGTTTTTTTGATTTATCAATAAGCACTGTTAAAGTCAGAATTTCTCTCCCATCAGCCCATAGACTCCATTCTCAATTTTATCAATGTAAAAGAAAATTGTAAAATAAGAAAAATCCCCTACCTATCCTATTTTTTCAAAGATGTAATAGGAAACACACATATTATTTCATTTGGCCTAATTAAGAAATAAATGTAATTGAAAAAAAATCTTTATATTTTTTAAAAGATTTTATTTTTAAAAGCTTGTCCTCGCAATATTAAGTTGAAATATACAAAGAGTGCTTGGTGTCTTTCCCACAAACAACTAATGCTGGATTGCTAATTAATTGCCATGAATGCAGTTAAAAGAATATAAAAATCTAACATTTAACCTTATTTGTAACGCTTGAGTAAAAATGACTGGATGTATATATATATTGTACATGGCTGAATTAAAATTACCGCATTATGGCGCATACCTGGTTTCTTCAAATGAGACCAATGGAAATAGACCTGACTGTTGTCAATACTTGATTGTTGATCATTCTGATTATCTGTCCAAGTACAAAACTATGCTAACAAGAAATGGCACATGAGCATATAGAAAGTACTTGAAAAGTTTCAGATTGTTTGATGTCTGAAGTAGTTTCTATCCTGTTCAATGACTGAATGAGGATCATAAGATTTAGGGGGAAGGAAACACTCTTATCGTGTTTAAATCACGAAAACCAATGCAATAGTCACATAGTGTTACTTCGTCCCTTATACCCGCCCTTATACAATGCATCTGAGACTACTATAACCTCAGACTATAACATAGTGTTATAATAGTCTCAGAATATATGTAGAATAATGCCGGTAACATTATAACTTTATCATACATTTATTCTCCTTTGGTGTGGAATAAAAGCAAATTACCTGCAGTGCTTCTATTTTATTAAGTTGTGTTTCAAGCAAGCATTTGTGAAAACAGTACTATTTAAAGTATTTTTGGGCAAGATAGAAAATTACAGTACAGGGCCTTTTGGTGTAGGTCTATTGTTAATGATGAAATTGAAAGAGGATACCAATTAAATTAATTTATAGCCAAAAATCTAATTAAACGAGAAAAGCCAGAGAATAAAAGATAAAACAACAATAACTTACCATTACACATAAACTGACTGATCCAGAAATTTTCATAAAGGGGGTGGGGGCACTGACTGTTAAAAAGCAGGCCTCACTAGTCATGCCAGTGGCGGATCCAGATATTTTCATAAGTGGGGCCCACTGACTGCCTAACTGAGGGTCCCGCTCTGGTCATGCTTCAGTGATTTCCTATATAACCAACCAAATACCCCCTGGCCCCCTCTAAATCCACCTCTGCATGCTTAAGTGATAATCCCTATACAATCAATCAAATTTTTCCCACAAAAAGGGGAGGGGCAGGGTGCACTGAATTCGCCTCTGTGTGCAACATGAACATCCAAAATACATGAATGAACTCAAGTAGTGATAGTAGTGAACAGTTCGGAACTTCCCGGGGCTGCTCAACATGTGGCAACCTACGTCTTAGTATAATTGCAAATTTAGTAAGTAAAATTTTGATTTGATTCGACATTTTGACAAACATGATAACATAAGGGACTGACGACATCATAAGATCGATGTAGGATAAAAAAACTTAAATCAAATAGTTTGGGGGTGGGGTGGGTGGGTAAAAATTGCTGCAAGTTTTGTTTATCCAACATCAATTTTACATATATATCAAATCAATTTTTCCCAAATTAAGTGAAAAAGGGGGGGGGGGGGTCAGTGAATTATCCTACATTGAACTTTTGATGTCGACTCCTCCCTAAGATCTGGTGAGCTTTTCGTTGAATATAGGAGATAGTGATTAAAGTATTTGCAAGCAAAGTTCATAAGTTGAGAATTATAAAACAAAATATATTGTTTAACCTTGGACCAATAGATCAAGTCCAAAATTTAGCCATTTCAAGGATCGATCAGGGTGATTATGTAGCACTGGCTATTATAATACTTGTGTAGAACCTTGTATAGAGTAAATCAAGGAGGCAGTAGGAAAACTTATAAGATGTTTCCTAATAATCATGATTACAAAAGAACTTGACACGGATTCTTAACTGAAGGTCTGTCCGATTAGTAAAATTTCGAATGCACTTAAATGAATACATAAGTGACCCCCCCCCCCCCCTTAAGTCTCCGCCAAGACTGATAGACTCCTTAAGCCAATTCTGTAACCAAGAGCATTCCTATGTTTATATTTTATTTATTATTGAGTTACTGTTTAACCTTTAGTTCTTCTCTGATTAGAGCTAGGATTTGTATAGTAATAATATACAAATCCTTGATAAGAGTAATCCTCGTTTGTCAATTTTCCATAATTCCGCGCCCCCCCCCCCCCCCCCCCCTCGCTGAGCAGGGGCGGATCCAGAAATTTGGAAAGGGGGGGCGAAGTTTTTAAAAAAAATTTGGACCTTTTTGGGGCTAAAAAACATAAAATAAGTGTAAATTGCACTTTTTAAACGGTTCCTGGCGTGGGGCATGTATATTCTATAGT